CTTGCTTCGTAGTACAATAGAAAAATCCCCACCCTAAATTTATGTCGATCATTTCCTGATTGTAAACTTTTGTCCACCGAGTGTATATAATAATGTATAATGCAATAAATATTAATATATTTTTATTTGATATCTTTGGACTCTCAAGCATTCAATATGAGTCCGAGTTAAAATATGACCCGACTCTTCTTAACTCAGCTCGAGCCGAGTTTTCTGAAACGAGTCAAGCTAGAGCACATCTGAATCTTGGCTCGACTCGGCTCTTTCGGAGCCCTATCATGGTAGGCATATATACACTTCGGATTGTTAATATTCTTATTGATAGAAAGATGGTTGTTTTTGAGAATGAATTTTGGAAACAGAGAAGGAAAAATTTAATATCAGTGGTGGCGTTTTGCATTTCACATCGATAGTGCAGTAACAGCAATAGATCATTTTGCTTACAGTGTAAGTGTCAAACAAGAAGTTTGGGAAACGAATACGGCTTTGACAATGATGGAATGTTTCATTAGAGAATCAAGATTACGACAGTTTATGATAAAAAAGCGAGAAACATGGTTGAAAAATATCCAACCCTATTTCAATTAAGAAAAAATAGTAAACTATGAATAAATACAATTAAATTTAAATTATAAACGTATATAAAATTGCCTTTAAATGACAATAATTTCGAATTGGAAGAGAATAAGCACCACCCCGTTTCTTAGAGCTCAAAAAGTGGTGCTTAATTTTGGTAAGCATTTATTAATGTCATTCGCGTTTATACTCTTAGCAAACGCTAACATTATGTAAACTTCTTACTCCATTATGTTAGCAAGATATGTACAATATTTCATGTACACTTAGACATATGAATGTTTTACTCAAATTTCATGGCTTTCAATGCCATTTTACATATTATCGGTAAATAACAGTCGGAATTTTTAACTAGTTCATTATGTCGGTGGTTCTGGGCACTCAAAATATGTAAGGTAATTTTGACACGGATTGCTTATTGTTGATAATGTGACAGATTAAAATGAAATCAGATTATAATAAAATCAAATTTGGCTCTTTTTTATGGGATAAAAATTTCAGAGAAGGGTTAGGGTTATGTTAGAGCATAGAGTATAGCATTAAAATCGGTAATATTTAAACATCCCACTCTGTTTCGTTTTAATAAATACAAACATTAGAGGTTATGCACCATACACAACAGACTGCGTGGGATTATAACGTTAACGCTGCTTGCATCATAAGAAAGATTTTTATTCGCATGGGGGAGCAGACAGACGTTTCATCATGGAGATTGGAAAACATCTTGGTAGAAGTAAGTCAGATGGATAACTCGTGGGCAGAGCAATAATTTTATGCCACGTCTATAAATCCTTGTCTTTGCCAAAAGGCAGAGGCCATTTGGTGTAATTCTGATTATTTATCATCGATGGTTTACTTTGGGAACCATCAATATTTTGGCCAGCTAAATTAAATTGTACCAGCCATTGTAGGTTTGTTTCTAAAAGTACAAAGAGAATAGACATTGATCTTATGTTATAGGCATTTATATGCTGTTAATAAAATATTGCATTTGGGCTTTTAAAAGTTGCGTCATTTGTTCTATTGGACTTATAAAAGTGACAACCAACTAATTACCAAATATTTCTTTGCTTATAATCGATATCAGTGGTGCAAATATAAATAAATACACATGAGAAATTGTTAATACAAAGATTTTCTGCGCTTGATCTATGTACTATACCTCAATATAACGAACTTCTTGAGCCGGAAATTTTTTTCTTTATATCGAGTTTCCCCATGAAACTTCGCTATATAGAGGTAATTTTAAACAAGAGTCTTTTTCTTTCGTTATATCAAGGATTCGTTATATCGAGCTCTGACTGTAACGGGTCGTTACACTGGACTCGAATTAGCATAACGATATGTAAATGAAACAAATTAAAAGTTTTTCTCTCAAGAATATTCGAATCAACTATCCATATCGATATATCGTATTTACTAAGGATTAATTGCATGTGTGTACATTTTCAAAAAAAAATTGACTCGAAAAACCCAAATATAAAAACAGCTTATTAGCTCTGTATTTTCATTTATTTTACATAACCTTCTTCTATCTTGAATCTTTTCCGTTACTTCCAACCACTCTTCCTGTTTACCCGCTTTCTTATCATCCTTCAAAATTCATATGCTTTTTTCTATCAATCTAAAAGATTTTCTTGTAAATAACATATTATTAATAATATCTTTTTAATTAATAATTTTCATGCTATATCGTGACTCCGGGCCTTCTTTACATCCTTTACAGAAACGTGTACAAAAAACTTGGTTATATATGCGTTCAGCGCCACCTCTACAAAAACTATTGAGAAACCTTGTTATTTGTTCCAGTGTATTGCTTATCTTGTACACGACATACCTACTAAATGGATTTAGATCTACGATCCATCTTAAAGAAGACGCGATTTCCAACAGCTCTTTGTCTTCTAGTCAAACAATAGTATTATTTCTTGACGGAATACAACAAGCAAATAATTTACAATCAATAATATGTAAGTTCGCCAATAAAGTCTCGCTGCAAATTATAGTTTCGGGTGGTCAACGTGGATTAAGTAAATCAAAAATGAATGCTCTAATCGCGCAACATTGTCCTGACGATATTATTGATTTGAATATTGAAGAAATGAGGTTGTCAACTAGAAGCAAAAGTAGTCTCGTCATACAAGTGTTTGAAGGATTCTCAAAGCTCATTAAAGAATTGAATCCAGAAGTAGTTCTCTATATAAGTGATCCTATTAATCCCATTTCGCGTGGTGTTATCTCTGTTTTATCTAATTTTGAAAGTGTCACTGGAATCGGACTTCCATTAGATCACATTGAACATTTAGCCTGGTTACCTGATCTTACAATAGAGACTTTAAAACGTAAGTGAGGTCTTTTTTAATTTAATAATATTTTTATTCGTGCCCTATTATTTATTACTAGGATGATATTTTAGATTGGAATACTCCTAAAATTCATTTACAAGTGATTACCCAAGATCGTCCTGATTCTTTATCCCGATTATTACGCTCACTTGATTCATCTTATTACCTTGGGGATAGGCTTCCACTTACAATAAATATGGATAGAGGTGTTGATCCTGTTACCATCGATTATTGTCACAGATTTCAATGGAATCATGGAGATCTTGCACTTCGACGTCGTGTTTTACAAGCTGGACTTTTACCCGCAGTGGTTGAATCTTATTATCCGCATGATAATGACCATTACGCAGTTCTATTGGAAGATGACGTCGAAGTTTCTCCATTTTTTTATGTTTGGATTAAATATTCTATCTTAAAATATCGTTATGGTCCTGTTCGCGCTGCAAGTCAACAAATGTTTGGCGTGAGTTTATACGGTGCAAAAAATTTAGAGCTTCACATGTCTGGTCGAAAAAGTTTCAATCCTTCATTAATTCTACAAAAAGGAAATTTTTCGATACGTTCTCCATATCTACATCAAGTTCCATGTAGCTGGGGCGCTGTTTATTTCCCGGAAATTTGGCGTGAATTTCACGAATATATTAATGCACGAATGGAAGATGAAGCCACCATAAAGATGCAGAAAATAGTTGTTCCCGAAAGTAGATCAAATCGATGGAGAAATTCATGGAAAAGATACTTTATTGAACTTGTGTATCTTCGTGGTTACGTGATGCTCTATCCGAATTTCGATAATTTCACAAGTTTATCAACAAATCATATGGAATCTGGAATGCACATTCATTCAACTAACGTGATGAAGTCTCGTGCATTTGATCTTCCCTTAATGCATGAGAATATCATTCTCAAAGAATTACCTCAAGGCCGATTATCCGAATTCAAATCGTTACCAGTGATAGACTTGTGGGGTAAATTAGTGACGGCTGAAACTTTGATTAATCGCGGTCGTGCTCTTCAGATCCAAGTTTCGGATTGTCCTCCGCGAGTTGGAACCCCTTATCGATATAGCGCAAAGGATCTATTATGTGTTGATGAAGATGAAAAAGCTGAAGCTTGGGCCGCGTATGAAGAACAACAAAAAGAACAAGAGAGAAAAACCGCTCTTATTACTGCATTAGCTGATCGCTATACTTCTGAAGGTTCAATCTCTGAATTGGAACGTCTTGATGACGACCAACGGTATTTTAGTGGAGCCGTTAGTCTACAACAATCACCAGAATCAAAAGAATTAAAATTAGCGGATAGTTAAAAGGATGTCAATTACACGCGTTTAGGGAACGTGAGTTTAAGATCTCGCTAAAGAATAGTTTTAGCAAATCATATTGCGAACATTAAAGCTACCATTTATTCCTTTATCATTACACTCTCAGTTCACGAAGTTCAGTTTTTAATTTTTCAATAATTTCTGGCTCAAAGGCATCTCACTTTTAATGTAAGCACAGTTTCATGTAAATTAATGGTCAATCCATGAGCAAATTAACACCTCGTTTCTTGTCCAGGTGACAATCAATCAATTTATTTGTATTTATATAGAAGAGTTTGTGTCCGGGAGGGTTTATTGTTCCCGTTCAAGAACTTATGTATCATATATATTATAATTATTAAATAATTCGAGTGAAAATAATCATATTATAATAATTACAAAAGATAATTAAATCAAAGGATTTTTAAAAATTCTGGTTAAATATTAATTAAAACGGGTTTTTGGATAGATAAAAATAATAATAGAAATAGTATTAAACGAACCCTATTTCAGACGTGAACAATTGGCACCTCTACTCGCACAGGTGGATGATGACCATCACCAGTCATTCGAGCCCAAACATAATCTTGTGCAATCGCTTGAACAGCCAGTTTTAACGCTTCTACCATTTTTTCTTCTACCCATTCATTCATTTCATACGGAATATCAAGCCAATGCATCGGAAGTGATTGTGAAAAAGTTTTGAAGTTGAGATTGTGAGTTGGATCGGTGAGAACAATTACATAGAATAAATACTGGTCGGAATCAGTAGTAGTAGTAGACGATTCAGGGTCCTTATTGACGGGTAGACTGTAAGGATTTGCTTTGGCAGGCTGAATTGACATGAATACTGGACATGTAGTCACTAAAGTATCAAGGGATGATCCACTATTCGGTTCTTGATCTTTTTCGTTTTCTTTTTGTGTAGGTTTATAATTTTCTTTGATTGTTTGTTCGATCGTTGCCTATTAAAGGATAATAAAAAAAGATGAATTATGGATTACATCACAACAGAGGATAAATGAATGAATTTCATAGTATATTACCGTAGCAAGTCCTACCGCTTCGGCGAAACCCTCACAAAGATTTAAATCTTTATAAGTGCCATCATCTAAATTTTTCTTTGGTTCATTTCCTCTTCGAACAACAATATCACCACCTTCCACTTGTTCCATTATTTTCATGAATGCTTTATACACAAGTAATTCTACTCCTACATATCCCACCATATCATGGGCCAACCACACCTCAACAACTTCATGTTCTGCAATTGGCGGCGCTACAGCATTGACCACCGTGTTTATTGTAGTTAGACCTAACGTTTTCAGATCAGAACCTATTATTTATTATCATTAAAAGAAATCATTAATATGTGCAAGGATTTATTTCATAATCAACAAAAAAATTTACCAATTTTCTCAATTGCCTCTTTATTAACATATCCACGAACTGTCTCTTCTAACTTTTTAGTAGTTTCGTTAGCTCGTACTGTCCCAACAGTTGTTTGAGCTGTTGCTAAAGCACCTTTTACAGAGGTATCTACTACAGTCGAAGCCGTTTTATAAGCGGTCGTCGCTGTTGCGAGAAGCCCACCCCATGACCAAGGGCCTCCACTTTGATTAATTGATTGCTGTTGCTGCTGTTTCTGTTGTGAATTATTTTGTTCTTCAATTTGCTCTCGAGTAGTCGTTGACGACTCGGATAACAAATTACTATTTGTTGCATTAAAATTAACATTAGTCGTAGACGGTGTAGTTTCAGCATTTGAATTTGGAGACACATTCTTTTGTGTTATTTGATCAAGAAAATCTAGCACAGATTGAGTGTCCGTTGCTTGATTCGCGTTTGTCCCGCCTACTTCACCACCTCCAGTTACACTTGCTGTCCCGCTTATCGATAGATTGGCAGCAGAATTATCATTTGTATTGTATGTGTCAAGACTGTCAAGGAATTGTAAGACGTCTTGTGAATTTGTTGAGGTTGGCTTTTGACTCATTGTTAACGTTAGTTAGTCGAAATTCAAAAACGGATAATAAAAAAGGGTTGGATCTTCGATTCAGCAATGATTGGCTACGAGTTTCTTGAATAGTAATGATTTGATTGATCGATTGATTCGATAAAAATTTTTGGTGGTAAACCTTCTTTGATAAAAAATGCTAAACATCACTCGAACCTTTCGTCAATTTACCCCATTATCGCTGGATAAAGCTCGGTCATTCTCCAATAGTGAATATCGCAGGCAAAATCATAATGATTATAATGAGCAGGATGCACCAAAGTCAAAAAAGCCAATAGGTGGTTTTCGAGGAGGGTGAGTGTTTTGACGGCGGGTGTGTGTTATTAAACAACCAGAGACAAATACAAACAATTTCGTATTTTGGGCTAAAGACTTGGGTTGCTTGCATTCCACTCCGATTTCGAGAAAGCTTGTTAGACGTCTGAAAGGTCATTTGTACTTTAATGACTAGTCTTATCGGTTTTCTTCTCGGGGTTACACTTGCGAGTGGTGCTGGATATGTCTACTTAATGGACGATTATCATGCTGCCTCAAACCTTTTGTTAAGTTCAGTTGAAGAATTGCAATTATCCACGAATAAGGTGTTTATTTGTGTAATCATTTTTTTGAATTTGAAACGACCAAGATACTGAAGGACCATTATTATTATCTTAGGTGCGAGATTATGCCAAAAAGATTGAGAAAGTTGAAGGAGATCTTAGATCACTTCAAACTCATGTGACCACAAAGGATCAATTATCAGAGTTAAGAAAAGAAATGAAGAGATTATATGTATGTAAAATAAATGCTTTTAATTCCTTATTTTTTTTGCATTATACTCAATTATTGCGTTGAATTTTTTTTAGGATACTTTAGAAGGGAAACAACTTGAATTAAAAGTTCGGATGTCCAACCTTGGTATGAATTTAGTATGAATTTTTTTTATTCATAATATTTTGTTAATATTTTTTAATCTTGATAGAAAAAGATATCCTTATCCTTGAATCAAAACATTGAACGACCATTTCTTTCCAATAATTCCATGACATTACTAATATTTAAATCCAAACTTTTAAACGTCTGCCAATTTGAATCTCCAAAATAGTAATTATATGGGCATGCTGCAACAAATTTTTTTTAGATAATCAAGGTAATCCAAAATATGAAACCATGCCTGGTCTATCCTTTTGTTTTTACTTCGCTGCTTTTCACAAATTATTTGAATAAAACTGATTTATCTAATAATCATTTAAAAATATAACTATTTCCACTACTTTTATTATATAAAGTGAATTCTTTCGTTTTGAGGTCAAGAGAGTCGTGACTGATGACGATGCTCTGTCTAATTAATTAAATAAATTATTAATGATACCACTACAACCTACAATTTAGTTTCATGTTTGTGAGACGATTCTATATACCGATACATATAATTGTATCTCATCCGAATCCGAACCCTAAAATCAACCTTTAACGTTAAGGTTTATTAGCTGAACCAATCAGAACTTGGGAGAAAATTAGTATATATATAAAATCAAAAGTCACGATCCCATGATTCTGATCTCATCAAATCGCAGGATCAATGTGAAATTTTGCCTATGAAACTATAAAAAAATAGTAACACATGCATGATTTTAAGGGTATATATAAGTATAACGGATGGCCGGCATCGGGATCGGAATCATGTGACAGTAACATTTTTTTGCCATGGCTAGGGTACTATGATAAAAACCTCAATGACTAATTCCAACTTTTTGATCAGTGAGTCACCACCAATGGCAAACCAAAAATTTGAATTGTATTTTCTCAAAATTATTTCGCATAATAATGATACGACAACCTCAACAACTAGTGTTATGCTTTAAACAACAACAGCAGCTTCAAAGCTCTACCTTGCGTCAAAGTTCCACACTGAACTTTAAATCCTCGTTACCTTCGGTAAATGGGACGTGTTTTAAACAACGCAACCAACACAAGAACTTTGTAAGCTTGAACACGCCAATTGAAAGTCCTACATACAATTATCCCATAACAGCACTCGCGCTTCCTTGTAAGTCAACGAGGAATTCCCGAGGAAAGTCTCCTTTTGGAATCTATGTTCCGAGCCAGCATTTTACTGCTCAACGGGTGAAATCACCTGGTTCTATGGCAACCAAGAAGAAAACAAAGGAAAAAATTGATGTTACAAAGTCTGAGGTTTCTCCAGTTAATTTAAATGAAGAAATTACAAAGGTTTTGGAAGGTGCGTGAAGGAAACTCGTAAATTATTATTAATACTCGAATAAATGTTCCTTTTAATAAAAATTTTCCATTTGACTCTAATAGTGCTTGCACGAAATGAAAAGAGCGAAGACAACGTTTATAAAGAGCGTGCTTATTATAATGCCATACGTACAATCTCATTATACCCGCAGAAAATTACCTCTGGAGAAGAAGCTAAACAGCTAAGGGGAATAGGAGAAAGCATTTCTCGAAAAATTGACGAAATTCTATCAACAGTATGTCTTGGAAAATATGAAGCTCTTTTTTTTTGCGCAAATTAGCTTTTGGCTGAATTATAAAAGAATTCTTGCTCACATAATCGCTCGATTGATCGATCGATAATTGTTCGACAACCCATCTCATACTAGGGTACATGCGAAAAATTAACAGAGTCTAGTAGTAATCCAACAACGCAATTAATGAACTTATTTACGCGCATTTATGGAATTGGGTGCGAATTTTTTCCTATTGTTGCCCACTTTAACTTGTTATATGTCAGATTTCGATTATTTAGTTAACTATTGAAATATTTTTGATCTTTACTCTAAACTCGAAAGGCCAGTCGCTGCTAGGAAATTTATCGAAAAGGGATATCAATCTATAGATGATCTTTCCAAAGATCCTGACTTGACACCGATTCAGCGTCTAGGAATTAAATATTTGAATGATTTCGAAATCCCGATTCCGCGTGAAGAAATGATTGAACTGGATGTAATAAATGGGTTTTTCTGCGTTTGCTATTCTTTTTCCATCATTTCAGACTTTAATTTCCATTTGATATTTCAAAAAGAAATTAGTGACTATTACTGCACGAGAGATTGACGAAAGATACACTGTGACTGTTTGTGGAAGCTAGTAAGTAGAATTTATCGAACTCTGATTTTTTAATTAGAATTTTAATACTGTTACGTGTTTCTATTAACTGAAAGCATTTAAATACCTTTTTTATAAAGTCGTCGTGGTGCGCCCGAGTCGAGTGATATCGACATAGTTTTATCACATCCAGACTATATAAGTTCACTTGAATCTGATCCTGGAGAATTGTTAAAGAAATATGTGGATTGCTTATCAGAAAAAGAATTCATTATAGATCACATTTCGTCAGGAGCAGTGAAATATATGGTGAGTTTAGTGATGAGAATGTTTATTCTTTGATTTAAAAATGAAATAATTTTGATTTGATTCCATATCTTTGTGTAACTAGGGGATTTGTCGACTTCAAGACAATGAATCCCGTATACATCGGCGGATCGATATTCGGTATTTTTGCGATATAATAGCCTGTTTTAATAATTATGATTTGAGTTAAATCATTCATAAACTATTATTACTTTACATTTAAGACTTTTACCATACGACCGCTACTGGCTTGGAATATTCACGCTTACTGGCGACGACGAATTTAATAAGAAAATGCGAAGTCGTGCCATGGATCTAAATATGCATTTGAGTGAATATATACTAGCGCGCAAAGACAAAAGTACTGGTGAAATAAGAGAACCTATAGAAGTACAGAACGAAGCAGACATTTTCAGATCACTCGGACTGAGCTATATAGAACCAAAAGATCGGTCTTGGCGAATGGTTAGAAAGAAGTATAAATCAGATCAAAAAACAGAGAAAAATGTAAACGCTGCACAGCAACCTGAATCTTCATCTGATAAGATTGGAAAAGTAAATGAAAATCAACGAGGGGGTTCACAGCAACCTGAAGCTTCATCTGATAAGCCTGGAAAAGTTAATGAAAAGCAACGAGAGGGTTCACAGCAACCTGAAGCTTCATCTGATAAGATTGGAAAAGTAAATGAAAATCAACGAGAGGGTTCACAGAAGCCTGAATCTTCATCTGATAAGATTGGAAAAGTAAATGAAAATAAACGAGAGGGTTCGCAACCTGTCAATTCATACCACAGAGATTGGATAAAAGAGGAAATCAAATCACAGTCGTCGTCGAATCGCTTACTAGAAGCAACAAAGCGAATATTTAAATGGCCGTGGACAGGAATTTCTTCTCGTTAAACTACAAACAAGATAAATAATATTGTAACTCAGTCTTTTGTTTAAATTATGATCTGCGATTTTGTACAAGAATTAGGCATTTATAATTTTACTTTATCATGTCACATCTAATAATTATTATTATTCATTTGGTAATTTTGATAGAATCACAGAAATAGAAACAATATTGCCATGTTCACGATTCCCAAGAAGAATAAAAAAATTGGACGTGTCTAGTTATTCAATTATTTGGTTATTTACATTTTCATGTGTGCTAAATTTTATAATGTTGCAGAACCACCATTCAGTGTTGTCAACTGGACCATACTGGACATAGTCCAATACTGCGCCACTGGACCACTGGACTTGGTAATTTTATGGTCCAGTCCAGTAACTTCTGGTTACTGGACATGTTAAAGTGACAACACTGACTGACCACCACATATACATTTTAACTTGCTCTAAATACGGGTTTGGTTTTTAGATGAACAGGTTCTTGTCCTTGAGGCGTACCCGGTATGACTTTTTCTAATTTCTAATACAAAACAACAAAATTATTATTTAATTCACTCAATTCACAAACTTATGCCAAAACTAAGCTAATTTACCAACGATTTCCAAACACATTCATTAAATTCGCGTTCTAATGGTCGACAACGGTAATACTCTTGATTGCGATCATCGAGACATTTCCAATGCGTCTCGAATTCTTTATCACAGTGTTCACGAAGTTTCCGAATTCTGGTATTAACAATCATAACAACACGGAATGAGAAGTGTCGATTGATGTGATGCTCGAGCGAGAGTGTCAAGATATTAATTGGTATAACATAAAACTCATTTGGCTGCACCTTCTTCCCTCCCCTTCATCGCATCTTAGCACACAAAAACTCACATATCAATAGCACAGCGTGTCACCTTTCTACCTTCTTTTAAACAATGCGCTGGATCATTATTCTCATTTTTACATAACATGAAATCCTCATTATATTCTTTGCAATACGCGCCAATAAAGAATGCAGCAGACTTTAAAGGCGCCGAAGTGACACCAACTTCGTCAACTGGTGGTATATCTACCGGAAGTGGGGTTGGGTCAATAAAAGGAGGTCGTGCTACTTGTGTGTCTGGAGCGGACATTTTTTATTGTTAATTGAAAAGTGAATTAAATAATAGAATAAAGAAGACAAAAGAATCGTTATCAGGATTTTTAAGTACATTGTGTAACAACGCCTATTCAATTGATATGATTGTTAAATAATAACCCAAAAGCAATTTGACCTCTAGTAAAAAAGCCTTTTTCTATTAGTTTTTTAACTCATAATTCTAAAAGTACAATGTGTATATATTATATTTAGTCTATGGTAAATAGGATAATGCCAAACCAAGCACACCGACAGCAAATCCAGTAAAAGTGTAAACTTTATTCGATGTAGCAGCGGATGTGGAAGAAGAGGAAGGTTTGGCACTTCCGCTTGATGTTGGTGATGAGGAAGAGGGGTTAGAAGTGGTAGAAGTGGTGGAATTGGTGGTAGAAGCTGAAGAGGAACTATTTTTGGTGCCATCATCGGTTGACGTATTATTTGGTTCAGTTTTTGGGGCATTAGGATCGAACCCTTTAATAGTACCCGAGATTCCTTGAATATTGAATCGAGCAGAGTATGCGTTTTTTGAACCAGAAGATATTTTGATAAAGCTATTGGCAAAAAATATAATATAATTATTCGTTATGTTTTGAATGTGGTAAATGGGATAAAAAAAAACAAAAACTTACTAGTAAGGTCCTTCTGGTCCCAAATTTTTTTTAACTTTATAATTGACCTGCAATGCAGAAGGTTTTATACTCTTCTCGATGGTATCAACGAGAATTTGTTGAGTATTACCAGTCATCAATTGAACACTAACACTATCTCCCCATTCTGAAAATTTTGGTGACTTTGCATCTTCTGCCCATGTGACAAGTGCCGTTTTATCAGCATACCAGGTAATTGAACCGTATGGGCTCGTAATATAAACTGTTCCGCTTACAATAGAGCTGCTTGCAAAGAGACTGGCTGCAATAAGAATTGTCGAAGAAAATTTCATTTTTTCGGGTGGTTAAAAAAGTGGTTGTTGCGTATAGTATATTTGGTAATGCTAAGAAGCGGAAGAATATAAAAATACCTCCAGGGTAATAAAAAAAAAGAATGAATGTTAAAGAGGAATCGAGAGAGAGAGAACAAGGAGAGAATGAAGACTTGAAGAGTGCTGGTACAATTCGTATGTACGCGTATATTTATATTTATATTTATATTTATATTTATATTAAATATTAAAATATCGAAGATACTTAGTAATGATACGAATTAAGCCTTTTATGGGTTTGAAAAAATCGCGTTACATTCCTTCGTGTCACACGTGGGTTTACGCGTTTTCTTGGATGTTTCGGGCGTACGTGGCCGAACAATATATCGTGTTACCTAATTATTTATGTTCTGGTAAATAACGATTATCGTTATGTTGATTTTGTTACATGCATTATTCGTTATTTGACAAATAAATTTAATTAATTAATTAATGACAGAATTTTTCGAGGAATTTTATATTCCTAATTAAACTCTCGAGAGCTAATTCGAGCACAATTTAAATTTATGTTTATTTGGTGCACCAACTCTTTCACATTGAAATTACAAATAATTTCTAGAATTCACGTTTTTTTATTTAATGCAGTCGACTTGGCACCTATAGAAGATGGTCTTACGTCGATAGATATTCTTTAGTTTATCTTTCATAGATTGAGAACAGTACGTAATTCAACGTTCGAGGTTGATAGTTACTAGCATATACACTTAAGATTTGCGTGGTTGTGTTCCTTTTCTGGTATTTAAAATTAAACTCACGCGAATTGATTAACATTGATACATGAATGATAAAAGTCGAGTCAATGTTCTGTTCCCGAGTTGGAAAGTGATTAAGTTTCACCAAACATTTCCACATACTGATACGCATACGCATTTATATTAAACTTTTTGAACTTTCATGTAACTCGCTCATCCGCGTGTGGTTGCTTTTGTACTTTCTTGTCTCTCTTTGACTTACATTCTTCCCTTTCTAACTTTCAAGATAAAATCGATACATACAAACCCTAGCAGAAAACAGATTTTCCGATTAGCGACGTAGACACAAGAAATCCAGGATTAGAGGATTAGGAACAAATAACATATTCCGTTGATGTATATACACATAACAGACTCGGAATACGCGTAAAAACAATAGCCACGAAAGCATAATCACATTACACACACATATACGAGAAAAAGAATAAAATGTCTAGACGACAAAATGCTTACCCGCCAGCCAGTTATGGCAATCAACCTCAAGATATTCCACTGCAATATCGTCAAGGCTATTCTTCAAACAATAGTAACTCACAACTCGACAATAATTACAACAACAATAATCTTCAAGCACCAGCGAACGCATATCAATCTGTAGGACGTTTGCAAAATAATCATCAATATGATGCACATCAACAACAACGTTCACCAATTCCTCATCAAAATCAAGCACGAAATCCTACTTATAACAACACTAATTACCCTCATCAAACTCATGACAATAATTATCCGCCTCAATCGCAACCACGTTCAAATCAAAATTTTCCAAATAATCCGAATAATCAAAATTATCCACCAAATAATAGTATTGGGACACATAATAATGCTCCTGGTTCATCAGACTATCAATCGCCACCAAATGCTCCATATCGTCAAAATTCTGCGAATAGTAGTTCAAGTAATATTAGAGCCCCTGCTTATCTAAATGCTGCTCAACCATCTTCTTCCTCCTCATCGACTACACACCGGGATCGAAGTATGCCAAAACGGATCTCAATAACACAATCAGTAGGAACAGAAGAAAAATGTAATATTTCTCCTACTTCTAGTCATCATCTTTGGGGAGATATTACATCACGTGAAGATGACGACGATTTACATAATCCCGAAGAGGTGATTGCTGGAAAAGATCGTCGATGTGTATGGTGTTCAAAACGTGGATGTTTAAATGTTGGTGCATTGGCTTTAATTTTATTCGGAATTTTGGGATTATTTGCTGCATATCCTGTTTTCGTTGCCATTAAAAATGCCCATGCATCATCAAGTACAACTCCGACTCCTACACCTGGTGGCGGAAAATTAAAAGCAAAGGCTGCGATTCCCTTAAATTTCATTGATCCTGACACTCCAAGTTGGGCAAAATCAAAAAGATCAAGTGATGGAAAAGATTATAAGCTTGTATTTTCGGATGAATTTAATAAAGATGGAAGAACATTTCGACCGGGTGATGATCCTTTTTGGTATAGTAATATAATCGAATTATTGTCTAATTTTTATTCATTTTTTTTATCTTATTAATTTTTTCTCGTGTATGATTATATTTATTAGGGAGGCGGTAGATCTTCATTATTGGGCTACTAATGATTTAGAATGGTATTCACCTGATACTATTACCACAAAAAATGGCTCACTACAAATTACCATAACAAAAGAAAAGACACATAACCTTGATTATAAATCGGGAATGTTACAAAGTTGGAATAAATTTTGTTTTCAAGGTGGAATTATGGAAGGTAATATAATAATAACAATAATAATAATAATAATTATTAGTATATCATATAATTTATTTTACTTATGATTAGTTGCAGTATCACTTCCTGGAGATGGTAAGGTACCTGGATTATGGCCTGGTGTATGGACACTAGGAAATTTAGCTCGTGCTGGATATGGTGCGACTACTGAAGGTGTATGGCCATATTCCTATGATTCATGCGATGCTGGTATACTAAAAAATCAAACAGACACTTCCGGCACCTTCTCATACCTATCCGGTCAACGTCTAAATAAATGCACATGTCCCGGAGAAGATCATCCTTCACCTGGACTTGGTCGCGGTGCTCCAGAAATCGACGTGTTGGAAGCATTTGTAGATTCAAATAATCGTGTACAAATATCACAATCTGCACAATTTGCACCATTTGATGCCAAGCAGCAAGTAGATAAAAGACATGTTTCTGTATACAGTACTAGCAGAACCGTTTTGAACTCTTATGTGGGTGGGATTTGGCAACAGGCTGTGAGTTCGGTGACTATGATGGAAAAAGAAGTATTTAATGGTAAAGGATTCGAAAAATATGCATTCGAATATGAGCCGGGAGTAAGTGGTTATGTTGATTGGTCGATTGACGATAAATCTACCTGGAGATTAAATGGACCAGCTGTTGGGCCTAATCCTCATTCTCGTATTAGTTCGCGACCAATTAGCGAAGAACCAATGGTAAATATTAATTCTGAAATTTTCCATATTTAGTGAATTATTAATGATTATCATTTTATTTTTAGTCTATTATCTTTAATCTTGGCATGGCAAAAGAATTTAGTGCTATTGATTTTGAGAATTTAAAATTCCCAGCCACTATGCATATTGATTATGTTCGAATATATCAAGATCCAACCAAAATCAAAACGTCATGTAGTCCACCGGATCATCCTACCGCTGAATATATAACCAAGTGAGTATTTATTGATTGTCTAATTTGTTAAGTCTTCTTACCTAATTGAATGCTGAATAAATTACAATTTACAAGTCACCTCAACGCATACACAAATCCAAAGCTTACCACGTGGAAACAAGCTGGATACACTTTTCCTACACATAAATTGGAAGGCAAATGCTAGTCACTTTGTCAAACGATCCATTCATATTGTATAAACTCACCCCAGCGAACATTAGACAAACTCTGCATGTTTGCATTGCAGGGTAAAAAAAAACTTTATGTATCATCATTAGAATTAATTGTAGTTTTATTTTTCCCTTTCTAGTATAGGGTCTTGTTGTGGTAGGCAATGGTGATTCCTATGTAGTAAGAGAATTTTTCTTTGTAGATGTAAACTTTTATATAAATATGTTAGAACATTATATAGATGAAAAGTGGATTGATCCATTTTATTATTTTATTGTTATATTTTTGTTATACTAGTATTTTTTTCTTCACCTTCCTTTGAACAGCATATCTTGATTATATTATTTATTCACATAGAACAATTTCAACACTCTGATCAACGCATACACATCTTCAATTTCTTTGGAATCCGAAATTCTAAATTCTTCATTTTCTTTCGAGGAGAAAAATTACATTAATTCCCACATTCTTTCTAAATCTGCATCCGTAAAATAAACAATCATATCATATTCCAATGAAATCTGAGATTTTCGGTTCTCAAAATCATGTGATAATTTGCTTAGTTCAAAATTTTCGTTTTTCTAGGTGAAAAAAATGGCAGCACCTTACCGAAAAATACAAATAAAGCAATATCCAAAGCCTTTGACTAACTATGATGCCGAAGCTGCTTCTCACTGGAAAAAGTTTAAGGTGTGCATTATTTTTTTATTTCAGCAGCATGAGTAGAATTTCGCATTCTGAATAAATTTTCCTACATTTATTGTGAATTACTCTCTTGATAAACAAGACTCCAAAATATCTTGCAGAAACTGCCTCTGTGACCTCTGTACATTTTTCACCTGTTTCTCCACACGATTTTGCAGTCACTTCTTCCACGCGTGTTCAAGTATACTCTTCGAAAACACACGAAATAAAGAGATCTTTTGCGCGTTTTAAAGATACCGCGTATAGTGGAACAATAAGAAATGATGGAAAATTGCTTTTGGCTGGGGATGCAACTGGATGTATACAGGTTTGATCTTAAATCTTTGATGAGAAACTTTTTTGTGAAACAAAAATTAATTTGAATTTCCAATATTATCTTTAGTTATTCGATATAAATAGTCGTCGTATATTGCGTACTATACGCGAACATAAACTGTATGCAAAAGAATATGCATTTTCGATTTTATAATATAATCGAATCGAATTATTTTGTAAAATCTATTATTAATTTCATACACATCTGACAAGTCCGGTACAAGTAACGAAATTTTCAAGTGGAAATAGTGCACAAATATTATCTTGCTCGGATGATAAGACTGTAAGATTATGGGATGTATCTAGTCAAGAAGCGATTTCAATATTCTCGGAGCATGAGGTAAAGCTCATTTCTTTTCCTACATTATATCAATAATATTACATAGTTATTAATCATGTCATCTTACTACTAATAATAGGATTATGTACGTGCTGGCTGTATGAGTCCAGATAATTCAAATTTGATATTATCTGGTTCTTACGATAAAACATTAAAATTATGGGATGCTCGTACAAACAAACCTGTAATGAATATGAAACATGATCATCCCATTGAGTCTGTGTTGATGTTTCCTAGTGGTGGAGTTGCGATCTCGGCAGGTAAGAATATTCTATTTGAATGATATTCATAGAAGAAATCTGTCAATAGTGATTTTTGTAATTACTTCTATTATCAGGTGGACCGATTTTTATAATATGGGATATAATAGGTGGAGGTCGTATGATGCGATCTGTCTCCAATCACCAGAAAACCATCACCTCTTTGTGTTTTGATTCTTCTTGTACTCGATTGCTGACTGGCTCATTAGATCGACATGTAAAAATTTATGACGTGGCAAATTATAAAGTGGTGCATGGCTTTAAATACGAAGAACCAATTTTGAGCATAGCTTTATCGGTATACTTTATATTTATTTATATTTATGATTAATTTTCACATACTATATACGTATATAAAGAGATCATTTTCACGGTGTATATTTAGTCAGATGATAACATTTTAGTGGCTGGTATGACTTCCAGTCGATTCGGAATTCGGCAACGTCAAATACCAGTTCAAGAAAAATCGGCGATAGCACTCAATCAGGCACAACGAAAATTCCGCAGGGGATATTTTAAGCGAGGTGCCAAGTATAAGGAAATTGAGGTATTAATTTTTCAGAAAATGAAATAATTTTAGGAAGAGGTTATTAATTAATTGTTTTTCTTTGTTAAAGGAAAATACTATTGTAATAGAAAGCAAAAAGAGAGAAAAAATTCCAGAATATGATCACTTTTTACGTAATTTCCAGTATGCAAAAGCATTAGACTCGTCTTTAAAAACTGTAAGTAAAGTCCTTTTAAGATTATTGGATTGAAATAAAATTAATTCGTTATTCAATTGATTAGGGTGTTCGCGTGGTCGTCGCAATATCCCTTCTTCAAGAACTTATACGACGTGATGGTTTGCGGCAAGCGTTAGCTGACCGAGATGATGCTTCTTTGCAACCAATTATTCATTTCCTGACGAAACATATTAATAATCCACGATATACGACTGTATTATTAGACATAGGAGACTTGATTATAGGTATTATTATTTTTTAAAATATATCATTCCTTTTACAAATTTATATTGATTACTTTGCAATACTTAGATATGTATAGTACGTCTTTTGGATTTACACCTTCACCAATAATAGAGGAATTCGGGAAATTGTACCAAAAAGTGCAACTTGAATTAAATTATCAAATTGAGTTAGCCCGAGTTTTAGGATCTCTCGAGATGATCTTTGTAACTGCTGATAACGCACATTCATCTTCAATTCAAACCGGAGATAAAATACAAAGTTAACTCTCAGATTCACAGCATACAATATTCGATCATATATGCCATAAAAGAATTTTGTAAATATGTATGCTGCGATATTTTATTGGGGGTTTAGTTTGTCGAAATTCTGTATAATGGGATAAAAATACATGAATTGGAAAAATTAAATTTACAATAATATACAATCCCTATTAATTATAATTAACGATTGAAAGAAAAATCGGAAAAATGGTTTTTTTCATGAGTATTTTCGGTAATAATATACATGTGTTAGTTTAACTATTAACTATGGCATTAATCTTATTTTTCTAATATTATTAGAATCATATATGAAAATCACTGTCATCGTCTTCTGTATCATTAATTTGTATTATTGATTTTCGCTTCTTCTTTCCTTTCTTTGATCCTAATTCAGTAGTCGTATTCCTTTTTCTGGGTCCTGATTTAGTAGATGTTTTAGCCTTTGATGAGGACCCTGTTTTACGCACGACACCTTTCCCCCGTGATGAATTCGAATTTGATGCTCGCGTTATTGCATCGAAGCTCGATAGAGCTGAATTGTCAAAATCGATATTAACATATATGTTGTTATTTCCTTTTTGATTCATGTCTTCAACCGCGTCCAAATCTACTTCGGCAAACTCATCTTTTTGAGTTCCATCTTCAGCCATTAATTTCAGGAACTATGTCAAATGATAACGATTAACAATTGCGAGGTTTGTAGTAAAGCAATGTAAATAAAAGGACTCACCAATTCACATTGTTGAGCTATATCTTCGTCGGTATTCATGGGTTTATCTACGAATGGCAAATTTCCCCAAGATATTAAAGATGGTGCATTTTGATGGCGTAGTGCTGGCTTATCTTTATGAGACCCACTTTGAGCTGGGTTAAAGTTTTGGCATTTACTAAATTTAAAAAATTTATATAAGATTGGATTTGATTCGTGAACATGGAAAATGAAATTATTACTTACGCGTCGCTCAAGGCATATGCTCTTTTTAGATGCTCCTTCAAGAACATCAAAATAACCATACAAATGGAAATCTTTGCAGCATACTGTCGTGGTAATATAGTTTCTTTTGCAAATAAAATTAATATTTGAGCTTCTATTTCTAGGTGCATTATTACGGAGAATTTAAACTCTTATTTTACCTTTATCACCATGGTTAATTGATTTAGTGTCATGATATTCTTGGTCATCATCCATCTCCTCTTTCTGCATTGGGGAAAACATTTCTTCTGTAGACATATGAGAAGCAAGGTCACTCGCATTTTCTGTTAACCGGTCGACATCCATCATTAACAAAGAAGGATCTAAAAGTTCATGTTGCGTTATTTCAGGATTCATACTATTGTCGATGATTATTCGAACATTGTCTGTTATGATTTCATCGCTAGCATTATTACTATTATTAATATTTTTGCTAATTTTTGTGTATGATGTTGACGTGCCATCATTCTGTAGCGAATGATGAATGCTTATGCCTACAACCGATAAAACCCGATTTATGCTATATATGACTTGAAGGACTTCCTCGATGGTCTTATAATCAATTGTAGCCAAATTCTCTGTTACAAATTTACAAAAATGTACATCAACCTGTATTTATGATTATATTGTTAGCAGATTTAATTTTGTCGTAGTCAATCAAATTACTTGAATACTAATGGATGATGATTATTACCTTTGATTCATCTGTTCGCTTTAAGTCAAAATCAAAAGTTCTGACTAGAGTTGTAAGAAAATCGTTTCGACGCTGTCGCTTCTCTTTTAAGAGTGAGTACATTGGATTAAGAAGCGCCTCCGGTTGTTGTTGTCCTTCTGTCGAGCTTGTGGTATATCCTACATAAGTTGTATAAATTGACTTAGATATTCTCACATCCATTATTTTCGTGTCTCATGGTTACTTACCCACTATTGAAGCATCTCCTACTAATTGCTTTTGGAAGTGGTATGCTTTCTTCACACATTCTACATGTCGAGTATGTATTAAAGAAGCATGTTTTTCGTTAAGATGCTGATGAAGTTTGAATGCTTTATCACGAAAGGCTGGTTCTGGGCTCGTTTCCATTGCGACAATTGTTGGCATGCACTAACATAATAATGTCCGTTAATAATCAAATAAAAAATAATGATGATTTCATGTCTTAAAATTCTTACCAAGACAGGATGAGCAAGACCTTGTTGGATAATGTTCGCTAGAACATCAAGAGCAACAATCTTCATATGTGGATTTAAATCAAATGTACAATCGAGAATGCGGTCAAGATATCTTTGCATCAAAGAACTGCTTACTCTAAATGAATAAACAATAAATGTAAGAATATCTTCTAATAACTGTATGTTACTATTGATTTAATCTTACCCAGCTTCGGCAAATTCATCCGCGTTACCAATAAGAACTTTTAAATCGACAGTGGTGTCTTTTTTGGATTCTGTATGATATATATGAAAGGATTTGAGCAACTTATCATGACCAATATATTTGAATAGAGTAGATCATCACGAATTTACTTTTGTCCTCCAAATCTGCATTAATTTTCTGCTGCTCGGCAAGCAGAAAATCTAAGAAAACCTTCATTAATTGAATCTTCATATCCATTACCCCACTGTTGAATATACGATCCATCAAGTCGGTGCTTTCAGGACGTAACATCATTATAGGATAGGAGAGAAATATGAAACCTGTAAACATCAAACAAATTAAGAATCTATATCTTAACAGAAGTAAATAAAGTGAATTAGAATTACTATTACCCAAACTCTGTAAAGCCATTTTTTGAACCGACTCGGATAGCGTTTCATTACAAAAATATAAAACTAGCTCATAAACTAGCGGTGTTATCATTCCCTATGTAGAAATGAGAATGGAAATAAAAAAATAGATGAATAAGTTATCGCGTGAAATTCACCCCGAAAGTATAATAATATACCTTATTGATGGAATTTAATTCTTTCAATTCATCTATATAAATTTTATATTCAATGAATATATGTATGGTTAATCATAAACAAGTCAGTTCATTCTCGTCATTGGTAATATTAACCTGGTTTTTCGGCTCGCTTTTTGTCAAAATCAAAATTCTGGCAAAGCAATCCGATAATCATCAATAATACCATAACATTACGGGCTGAAGATAGTTCTTGTGTTTGTTCGAAAGTTTTTCGCTCCGATTTGAGTTTGTCTTTTTGTCATCAAGGAAAATTAGAGAAAAACTATAAATACTGTGACGAAATAAATAATTATCCATACCAAGACAAGAACGTAATAATTTTGTTAATCGCACATAATTATGAGTCAATTTATCAGCGATGATACACAAACATGGTACAACTTCTTGAAGAATCTATTTGAATAGGAAGAATGCATTACAATTGAACCTAACGTCAATAAATAACGATAAAATAAAATTTTCTTTTACCTTTTGTGGGCTTTTGGTAAGCAGGCTTAATAGTGCTGTCTCAACATCAGACAAAAAAGTTGGATTTGGTCGTTTCAAAAGAGGTAAAACACTCCGATATATTAAGAGAACGTAATACATAATTGCTTGATCTTCGTTCTATATTAAAAAAATAAATTAAAAATTCATATATATAATAACTTTATTTCTATCGAAATAATTTACCGTGCTGGCGCCCTTTAGATATGGTTGCAAAGTAACAACATGTCTTCGAACGAGAGATGGAGAAGCATGACTTAGCAAACCGATAGTACTAATACAGCTAACCACCTCTGTCTAAGAAATGCAGAATCCAAACATCGTAAGCGTAAATAATATAATAGAATCAAATAAATAGTCTAAATTACCTTTGAATTTCCATCTTGCAATGTCAATAAATGTTCAAAGAGACAATCGACCATACACTGACATATATTTAAGACTTCTCGTTTTTGCTTGCCTTCTTTTTCTAATATCTGATTAAAAAGCGTTTAATTTGTATATTCTTTTTTATAATAAATTAGATACTATATAGTAAATGACATACTTTTTTAAATAAACTTCCAAGTATATGACCGTTTCTTTCTCCTAATTTTCCTGCGACTCCAACTATTAACAGACTCCTTGTCAACACCTCTTTCTTCCCGATAAGTGACATATTAAAGAATTCACTTTGCCCTTCATCATCTTCAAGGTCTTCAGCATCGATTATCACGTTTTTTTGATATTTGAAAGGTGTTAACCATAATTCTTGTATTGTTTTAAAGGCTAAATCCTAGATAAAACAATATGAATGTCCATTAATAATTTAATAGATACACACTAAAATGATATATTAAATACCTTAACATGGTCATCCTCATCATTGATTCGTAAAAGAATCTTGCAACCAATATCGATCATTACACTCTGATCTGTGCTTTTGAGATAAATATCTCTCAACAGTTTGATAACGCGTTTTCGAACATTAAGGCCGGTGTCCTAATTGGAATGATTATTAGCACTAAAATTCATTCTAGAAAATGACTTTTGAAATATAATAAGGAAAATAAATTCACTGACTTTTATACGTTCGCTAATTATTTGGTAATATTGTTCAGTTATTTCGGGTTTCTGCGCCAAGTAACGACCGACTAGATCAATAGCAGCATCACGAACCGCAGGAGAATTATCCTGAAGCCTTTGTGCAATAGTATTTCGTACTTCTGTCTATATCGATAAAATAGAGTTGTTAATATTTTAGTAATGAAAGGATTAATGAAGATATTGTATTTATGTCTTACTTGGCTTAAAACGCTGGGATCATTTACAACTACTTGGCCTAAAGCTCTGAGTGCTTTGGTTCGAAAAGCAACGACACCCTGGTTCAAAGATAATAAAATTCTAGAAAGAATCGAATCAAAGCTTTGATATAAAGCTTGTCTAGTTGCAAGCAGCTCGACTACAAGGAGTACTTCGGATCGCTCAGGGCTTTGCTGTCTTTTATCGAGAAAAATAAAGGTTAAGGGTTAATAAAGGAATAAAATGAACTGATATTGGCAGGCATGAATTTAAACAAACCTATACTCTAAAATTTGTTTTGTATCTTCTTCGCAAGTCATATTCCAATATTCCTGGACAAGATTAATCAAAAAATTTTCCTTTTCATTATCCGAAATTTCATTCTCGTCAAAATCGTTAAAAGATTTCGGAGAATGAGGATCTCTTTTCAATGAGAGTAAAACGTTGGCGTACGAATATCCCCAATCTGACAAGTAAAATTGGCGAGCGCACTTATATAAAAAAAGTAAACGCGTGATAAGAAATTAAGAAATAAAAATAGAAAATTTTCTTCATAAATAGTATGTTACCTGTAGACCGGGATCTTCCATTGCGCCGAGTTCCAAGAAATTTAAAACTTTCCTCTGGTATCCCCAAAGATTCTCAATTAAGGTTAGTTGTGTGAGACTATCGATCTATATCAAATACAATTAATAATAACGCAATTTAATCAATGAATAAATGAATGATAAAAAATGTCACTACTTTTTCTTTGGGGATTTCTTTAAATCGTTTGGTTATATTAGTGTCGTTTTCATCAAAATCTGCTTCGTAATTTTTTTCGGATAATGTGGAATCACTATTTGAAAATTTCTTAATTCGGCCTGCAATGGTTCCCAAATAATCGATAGCCATAGATTTTGTGTATGTATCTGCTTTTTTATCATCAATATATCCTATCTAAAATCAGATTTTTAATTATTTTCTTATTCCTGACGTTTAAGAAATTTAATGAAATAGTACCATTACCATAATTATACTAAATATGCGCAATACTAATTCTGCCGCTGGCCATTCTGGATAATTCAATACAGTGAGAACATCTTCCATGAAATTATCCAGTAATAATCGATAATCAGATTCATTCGAATTTTTGATTGTTTTTGTACATCTATATAAATATCAAAAATAGAATTTAATTAATGTGATAAGTGGCAATCAAAATTTCTGGATTAAATATACCTTGCCAACAAGAATTTGAACACATATCCCGCATTCGCACTAGCTGCATCCATCCCTGACTTCCAGGCACGACCAAACTACTCACCAAATACACAATATCAGAATGTGAATGAGCATCTTTTAAAATCAAAGTCAATAAAAATATGCAACAAAATATACCTTTTGTAATTCTGTTGAAAAACCATCGATTTCTTTATTTTCCACATCCCTTTCTTCTTCAGCTAATCTGATTTTATTATCACCTAAGCAAGCTGTGCAACTCTGAATAAGTTGCAATATTAAAGCGGATATCATTTGAATTGATTTGCCATCTGGTAGCCTAAGGAAAATTCATAAATAATTTGAGTGTCAATATAAAGAGAAAGCATGTTAGATAAATTCGGCATTGATTTATACTTAACTCACCGGTCTTACCTATATTGCCTTAGATTACGTTTAGCGGTGGGTAGTTTTATTAGTGAAGTCAGGATCTCTTCTAAAATCCATGTGCGTTGTTTTTGATGATTTGTAAATATCTGGATGTACATATATAAATCAATGATTAATATTTTCTATACCGCAACCTTATAAAAGATTCGAAAAATAAAAAAATTATATTCAAACCGATCGTAATAGTCCAAGAGCAACTAGCTTTACACCATCTAATCCTCCACTGCCCAAAATAGCAGTTGCATTACTATTCATCGTATCGACGAAAAACGGGCCAACTGCGATAAAACCAACAGTTATCACAACATTGTCCGATAACTCTTCTTGTTGCATTAAATCATAGAGTCTCTGCAGAAAATTTGTAATCATAGGCAGTAATGATGCAAGTTGTCGCTTTATACGCGAAGTGAAAAAGAAGTCAAGAAAAATAAGAGAATTGAGATAAAAATAGATAGTATATATGAAGGTTATATAATTTATAAAGGATATTGCTCAATAACTTCAGAGACTTCAATATCATTTTGGCCTATATGCAAAGAAATGAAAATTAAGAATTTCGTATTAACATTAACTAAATTAAGTTAACAAACAGATTTATATAACAATACGCACTGTTAAGTTCATCGTTGCTCGGATTTAGTTCCAAGAGTTTATAGATAATGCCATTGAGTTGATTCTTGGTAAGATTTAAACTAGAAACAATTAAATCTTCGGGATAAAGCTGTGTATTCAAACAAGATTTTAACTTTCAATGTTAATGGTTCAAGAAAATGATATTTTATGGTTTATAGCATACCTGTTTACTTAATTTGCCGCCAGTCATAATTGAGAGTGCACATATAGCAGCATCAATGCCGTTTATTATTTTTTCGATTTTTGCTTCTGTTTGATTTATTTTGGAATCAATGTCCATATTATCGTCCTCGAACGCTTCACTGTTAATGTCCATTATTTCCGCGTTTTTATGAGATTTTGATGTGGAAGCTCCAAAATGATTAATTGCAGAATTGGGCAATATATCTAACGTCTCGGCATCTCGAACAGAACGCTCCAATATTTTTAAAATTCGTGCCAGATCTTCTACTTCTGCCTCTTCTAATTTCCTACTTCGACGCGCTTTATTGACAAACTTCACAAGCTGACGAATAGTGTGAGTGGTGAGTAATGGTTCATGAGAGGCTAATGTCGAAGGGATGAAGAGCGAAGTCGAACTTGATCCAGTAGATTCAGCAATACTTTCAGGCAATATAGAATCTTCCGCCTCAAAAATTGTACTTAAGAATTGTACTAATCTGTTCAGTGCGCCTATCGAGGTAAAATTTCATTTGTACATTAGTTTGAAGCAAAAAAAGAAAAGCTGAAAACAAATATTACTTTCTCCATTTCGTTCATCTTCTCGATCCTTCTCTCTTTGCTTTCTTAAATCTTGACTGGAGCGTCTTTTTCCGACAGAAGGGCTGCCTCCCCATTCAGAAACGCTTGAATGCGGTGAACGATATTCATTAAGAATTTCCCTAGGTGGTATTTCTACTACTACTTCGGGTGATGGCCTGCGTTGTTTTTCTTTCTTATAGGAAGGAGGCAAAGTTTCATCCATGTTTTTATTTGAAACTTGATCAATTTCTGATTTATGATAAAGTGTATTAGGTGGTATATCATTAGTCTCAATGACCACTCTTGGAGATGGCGGACGGAATTCAGTCACATTCATTTGAATATTCTGTTGCGGAGTAGAAAAGTTATTTCTATTTTGATTGTTAGCTTTAACATATTTTTGCTGATCGAGATTCCTTATGTCAAATTCTGCCGATTTCTGACTTATACTATTATTTTCGAGAATAGCTGGAGTATATGAAGAAGAAATGTAAGATTGATTATCTTTGTATAAATCTCGTGAAGACAAATCAGAATTCTGATATCCTGGAGATGCTGAATTATAATCATCAGGACATATTAAAGTCTGCTGAGGAGCAACACTTTCAATGATAATTCGAGGTGAATTTGAACGTATAGCTTGCGGTGTAGATGTAGAATTATTCATTTGTTGTGAGACGTGGGAAGATAAAATTCCTACTTTTTCGTGATACTGTTGCTGAGACACGTCGTTCGGGGAAGACTCGCGATAATCACGTGATTGCATAGCTGTAATCATTCTAGAACCGTCATAAGTGTTCTGGTGATAAAAATTAGATTGGTGATTAGAATTGCCGTGCGTATTATTCGAGAAATTCATAGCATCATGAAATGGCCGTTTTTGAGGGATAGATGGAGGCGGTGATGTTGGATAATCAAAGGAAGGCAAGGAGTTTGTTGACGTAGGAGGACTTTTGAAGCGGCTATTATTAGAATCAAAAATACATTGTAAATCGTTAAATATTGAAGTTGTAACCGATCATGACATTATAATATTTATTACTAGTGCAGAATAACATAATTTTATAAAACCCTGACATATATATATATTTATATGTATAAATTGAATAAAAATGAGACACATGAACGCGTCTGCCTTGTTTTACTCACACATAACTAACATCAACTTGATTCAAAAGTCCGCGTACAGTCTGAAATTGTTGTTGTAGACCCAAGTCAATGTGTCCATTATTCTGTTGACTAAGCATAGCACCAATATGTGCATACTGCGGGTCATTTAGATTACACGTTGGATATTCTTTGAACGCGACGGAAAGCGTAGGTAAATCACCAATGACTAAATTTTTAAAAATAACACAAGTATGTAAGACGGTAAGACACATATTTATTCCGAGCAAGTCCATTGCAGCTCTATTACAAAAGAATACACCAAAAACCTGTAGAAGCCGGTGTTATGGAAGCCAAAGCAGTATACTGAATGGCAGAACGAAGGTCGGTAGGTGCGGGAATAAAAGAGCCACCACCACTCCCTTCACCAGTGAAGTTTTCCCCACTAGAGCCACGAGAATTATTCATATAAGAAAGAAAGTATGGAAAACAATTCCAAATGAATATGTTAATTTTAGCTATTAAGGTTGTCGAAATGATATATCGAGGACAAGGTCAGAAGTAAAACACGGGCTTTTGTTGACATTTAAATGATTTGTCAATATTTTTACTTAGTGCTATTTATCATTATTTGTGATAGGTTGGCAACAAAAATTTTAGCGTTAGATTACCAAATATCGATATATACTACACTTTTTCATTAGTTATGAGTAATAATAATAAAGAAGAAATATTTGAAAAAAATCAGGAGGAGGAAAATTTGCCCGAACGTGAATTAGATAACGACAAAAAAGAGCACGAGTCCACAGAAACCTTAAATTTCCTTAAACTTCTTAAAGAACTTCAAGAAAAACTTGTGGAAGTTAAACAGCAAGTTCAACAAGTACAAACTAAGCAAGTTCACTTCGAATATTTATTCGTGAATTGGATAGAGATTTGCTAAGTATCTATCATACATCATTTTTTATAATATTTTGTAATCAATTATTTTCGTTTTTTAGAGTATCTTCGGGATTAATAAAAACATCAAACGGTGTTTCCTTACTAGACATAAAAAATCATACACTACTACAGTACATCACCAATCTCACATTTCTCATACACCTGAAACTTGATGGGAAATCTATCGCCAATAATCCGGCAATATCCAATTTGATTGAATCACGTGTAGTACTTGAAAAGATTAAACCAATTGAACATAAATTAAAGTATCAAATTGATAAATTGGTTAGAACTGCGACTATTACAAACGATGATAATGACAATCAGGAGATTGAAAGCAAAAATTCGAGGGGTGCGAGTATGGAAATTTTCCAGTTACTATATTTTTTCTTAACTTGGGCATGTTTGGATAAAGTAGATTTTTTTATGATGAATTTAGTGACTGATCCATTAGCATTTAAACCGAATCCTGGAAATTTAATTTCCAAGGATGATGAAGATGAGGGTAATGATGAAATTAGAGGTATTCATACTAAAATTATCATCAGTTATTAGATATACCATTCATTTCTAAATCCTATTTTCATCACAGGATTGTCAACGGATGAATCTGCAGGTGTGTATAAGGCACCAAGACTAGCACCAGTACATTTTGACGAAGATCAAGGTAACTAATTAACTTTTATCAAAAAAATATGAGTTTATTCAAATCTATTTTATTACTTACTATTACATTTCTAGGAAAAGATACAAGACGTGAAAAAGAGCAATCACGACTCAAAGTACGTGCTTCAAAATCACGTCTCATGCGAGACATACTTGCCGAATACGATGACCACCCTGAAGAAATTGATGCAACCGGTGGTGTGAATGAAGGAATTGGCCTCGCAGAAAAAGGGTTAGATGTACGATTGGCCGAGCGTACTCGTTATGAAGAAGAAAATTTTGTGCGATTGGTTGTTTCTAAGAAGGAGATGCGGAAGATGAGGGGTGGTCCTGGTGTTGGTGGTACCAAAGGAATTCAGGATGAATTTGAGGTTTTTATTATTAATATTAGGTTTTTGTTCGGTTTTTAGGACTTCTTTTTAATTTTCGCATTTATTGGTGTTTAGCATCTAAATGATTTTCGTAGTTTTGCCGATTTACAACATGATTCCGACTCTGACGAGAAATTTAATGGATTCAGAAATAAAATTCATCGTTCACGAAAAAATTATGATGAAGATGATGACAACAAAGTACGTAAAACTAATATATTAATAATAAAAATTATTTACTAATGCTCTCTCCCTTGTTTTGATTATGATCTCTAGGACACCACTGTTTTACCACGAAATAAAAACAATCACAATATTGGTAAAAACAACGAATTATTTCATGGGCCGTTATTAGATTCATCAACGAAATCAACGTCTTTACTAGGAAAAAAACGAAAATCACAATTTCAAAAAGCGAAACAAAAAAATATAAAGAAAGCGAAAAAGAAACAGAGTCACAAATAAAAAAACAAACATAATTAATCCAATATATATGGATTTTTTTATATATGCATAAATCTAACGCGTCACGTTATATAAATACCTACGCGTCGTCAAAAAATCAAATCATTTATTAACTAGGGTCATGTAATTATTTTTTTAATTTTAGTTTATTCACGAGTTTCTTGCATTAAACTAAAAATACTGTTACAAAGAGCTCTTGCACGACTAGATACGTATATGGTACGAACAGCTTAAAGACATCCAATATTTGACTATTTTTCTAAAATACAAAGGATTTTTTATATGAACTTTAAAAGTAAAAAAATGTCATTTAATAGTTTTTGACAAGTATTATCAAGATACAATTTTAAATAATGCATTTTTTTTATTAATAATCGAAGGAACGTCATTAGATGATGTCTATAATGATTTGCAACATCCACAAACAGTAATTTGGCCTAATGAAGCTTATTGCGAATTTGTACAAATCACCACCAAATATCAATTATCAAATTTAACTGGTGATGCCATTATTCAGTTCTTTAATAAATTCTCTAAGCTAGATAATTCACCATTATCTTCATCAACAAAAATTGGAAAGAAATTATTGGATAATACAAATATTTGATATATGATATTCAAAGAAGTTTCAATCATTATATTTCAAAACAATGAGTATATTCTTTACTACCAGTCTGCAATTCAGACAATTAAATTTCTGTTATTAATTGAAAATATTAATCAGAACTTAGTGCTAGATTATAAAGAAAAAAGAGAAATTAGAAATAGTATCAAACACTATTTATTTGAAGAACAATATAACTATAATTGGTGAAGATGAGAAGAATTAAAACTTGCTATTGGATAATAATTGCTTTTAATTATTATTTATTTGAATACAACAATCTTGGACCATATGGAAAAATCTTTTGAACATACAATATTCTTATTTCTTAGCAATATTTCTAACTTCAAAGAAATAAATCAAAATCAAAAACATTAATCAAATATTTTCTTATTTTAAAAGCTAAAGATTCTAAAACTAAAAACTCAAAGTTTTAAATAATTACAAAGAATCATTTTTCAATGAAGTCTAACAATTTTTCTCAAACTAATACTAAATTGTCCAGAACTTCAATTTGTAGTGCATCACAATATGATCTTTTTATTCTATAAATCTTGATAATTTTGACTGATCTAGTTGAAGTTAATAAATTTATAAACATTTATCAATTATAAATTTCAAAGAAATTTTGTAGTTTCTGCTTAATCTCAAAAATTGATTTAAATAACACAGAATTAACAGACTTATTATTTAAAACTTCACAAAATATAAAACAAGAAATTAAAAATAATCAGATATATAAGAATTCAATTTATACTGAACATAATATATTTTGAAAAATAAGATATCAATTAAAATTTTGCTATTATATTATAAAATTTGTTATTTATAATATTTCTTAATTATTAGAAACTTTAATATTTATCAAGTAATCATTTCTAATCAAATATATATATTAGATCTCAATTTGTTTAAGTATATATTGGATTATATCAAAGAACTTTTAAATAAACAATATGAAAGTTGAACTATTCAAACTCTTGAGCAATAATTGATAGAAATTCCTAGATTTTAAAAGCTTAAAATAATGAAAAATGTATTGATATGATATGTATAACTGTTAATGATCTGTAAAATATAATGAAAGTAATTATTTTTGTATTTAATAATCTTTATAATACAAAATCAAATATTAGTAATAAATAATTATACAATGTATATTACAAGTTTCTTAAAATATATCTGGCTATCCATGAGAAATCTTTTATATATAAATTATACAATCAACTTAAGATATTATATATATTCAAAAATAAATAACTTTAAAGATATTTGATAATTGATTAGTCTTAATATATATCAATTTCTAATACTTTAATATATAGATATTTATTATTGATTGGGATCACAAATTTATTGATTTTTTTGCTCATTATTCTCCAAGTGATTTACAATTATTAAAGCTTTATGCATAGTATTATTATATAATATTAGTTATTCAAGAATATAAAAATATAAATAATATGATTACAAAAACTTATGAGATTCTAAATAAAAATTATATTAAATAATCTTATCAGATATTTAATAATAAAGACTTTATAAAGCAAATTGTGAAAATAATATATAATTATTATTATCTTTAACTAATATTACTTATAATTACTTACTAATAATTATTAATTATTCTTTTAGGTAAATAATTGAGAAAGAAACTTTAAAGCAATATTAATAAATAACAAAATATAAAAAATTTTTATACATATTAAAATTAATAATAATAAATGAATTTCTTATAATATATAAAAGTAATTTATATTACTTTCAAATTGAAGAATATTGTAATTTACTAAGTAAACTTGCTGAATTTTTTAAGGAAAAATCTAATATGTCAATTTATAATAATTATTAAATAAAAATATTTTCTTCTATTACTTTAGAAAGTATATATATTATATATGCAACTAGTAATTTTCACAAAAAATTTATATTTTCAAATATAATAATAAGCATCAATGATAAAAAAAAATAAAGTAAATTGATATGATCAAATAAAAGTATAGTCAAATCTTTCTATAATTACACCTATTTATAGTCATATTTCTCTATAGTCATTTTATTTTGCTTTTTTATTTACATATAAATATAGTAAAAAAATCTTTTTATAATCTTATTCTCTTTATAATCACCAAATTTTGCTTTTCTAAGAATAATAATTATAGAGAGATTTTATTGTATTTAGAATTTTAAAAATATATAAATTACTAATGTATATACTTAATTTATTAATAAAATTATTCAAATTGAAGCAAACTGAACAATTTAACTGTATATTAATAAAAAATATTGATAAAATAATTTATATTATTTTCAGATTCAATCAAAAAAATGAATTTATTGTAAATAATTATATCTTTTAAAGAATTTGCAATATAATATATGTAAAAGGATGCAAATAGAATACTTAATACAAATATTATCAATTATTAAGTCATAATTTTATTTTATGACACAAATAAATACATATAATTAATATAAAAATTGCTCAAAAATTATATTAAATATATTCATTATCAAAAGATATCAATTTTTAGTTCAAGTTCAAAAGCAATAAATAATATTTTTATTTATTTTAGTAATATATTATTTATCTTATAGATATTGCAAAGAATTTTATTACAATATTTATTATTCATAAATAATAATTATAATTAAACAAAGAGTAATTTTGAACAAAATAAGGAATCTTATAAATTTGAAAATGAATAAAGTATTAATTAAACTGAATAAAAATATGACTAAGGATAATATCTTAACTAATTGTGACTTATAACAATAATTATAACATCTATCACTAAATGATATTATATTGTAAATTAAATTCTTAATCATATTTATAAACTAAAGAACACATATAAGTATTTATAATCAGAAAATATGAGCAATAATGTAATAAAATTGATATTTATATTGTATAATTATAATTGTTTTAATATAGTTGATAGTTTTAAAATATTTGATAGTTTTAAAATATTTGATAGTTTTAATATATTTAATAATTTTTATGTATTTGATAATTTAAATATAATTAATATATTAATAATTTTAATATATTGATAATTTTAATATATTAATAGTTTTAATATGTTAATAGTTTTAATATATTAATAATTTTAATATATTGATAATTTTATTGAGTAAATAAAATAATAAAAGAAAAATACAAGTATATTTATAACTAAATTTTTAATGTATTGAATATAATCTCTCATTAAATTCAAAAAAATAATTTGTTATTATCATATAATTTTAGAAAATTAATAATTAATTCTTGAATATAATCTCTTATCAAATTTAAAGAGATAATTTATTTATATATATTATTATTAAATAATATTAAAAAATCAAGACAAATATAAAAAATATATAATTTGTTTATATTGTTACTGTTTTGAGCTTTTGCGTATGAAAGTATTTCAAAATGATAATAATGACTGTGTTCATGGTAATTTATTTTAGACTTTTTAATTGAAAGATATTTATAACAATAAAATAATGTTTCTTGACTAAGGATGCTTGCCTAAATCCTTTCAGAAAAATATCGTCATAATTTCGACGGGTTACACACTAATTGTTAATT